TCCTTCATGGAGCTGACCCAATGGATGTCTGCCCTCTCCTCATGGCACCCGAGCATCCTTGGTCACAGGCAGCTGATGGAAAAGGTTGCTCTCCTCATTGCATGGGAAAAAAACAAGCTTCAAGGTGCAAGGACCAGCCTGAGGCTGCACAAGAAGCCTTCTGTGGGACACAAAAGTGCACTCTGATCCCAAGTGAATGCACAAGCATGAGACAATCCTCTCCAGAGTGCTGGGCTTTGAGATCCCCTTCCATGAGTCCCAGTTTCCACGCTGGGTATTTCTCTGCCTGTTCTCAAGGTGGGAAGAGGTCCCTACAGATGGCAGAGGGATGATCCCTCCCACAGTCAGGTCCCTGGCAGGCATGAACTGCCCTGCTGACATGCAAAATGGCCATAAAAGACCCAAAAGTCCTTCCTGACAAGGGGCCAGGGGGGCTGAGCCATTGCAAACCTAAACTTAACATGAGGCTGGGCAGTCAGCTGTAAAATCTCTCCTAATCCCAGCCTCTGGAAAGGGGAGGACGGGGAGATCACCTGCTTCTCCAGGACGTCACCCACATCACATGGCTTCTGGGTCATGCTCACGCCAGCCACCACCACCTTCAAATCTGGGCTTGACCTCCAGTTTACCTTCACGTTCACTAATTGTGCCAACCACTGCCAAAAGAGGGGTTCACATCACCCCAGAGAGAAGAGGGTGATTAATCCTCTGCTGGCAGAGGGGAAGTTGATCGGTCCTTAGTGTATGGGGGTGCTGAGGGACCCCTTGGACAACAGAGATAGAAACAGCCTTGCCCTGTTCACAGGGCTCACGCACACTCAGCACCAGCCAGGACCTGGCTCTTGCTTCTTTTTCTGGTCTTTCACTTCTAGGAAAGCCTGTCCTCTTCCCAACAGCAGAGCAAACCCTTCCCCAAGCAGCCATTCCAAGAGCATTTGTATTAATCCAGATTAACAAACATCAAGCAATTTAGATAAACCGCATTAAGCCAAAACCCACCTTTGAACTTGTTATTTTTTTAGGGATCAAAATCCTTCCCTGAGCACTGTGTGTGGTTTGGGCCTCCCCATACCACAGCGTCACCAGATGAGCTCTGCACTGAGTACTCAGATAATTAAGTGAAGTCAGCAAATGTGATTACCGAGAGCCAGCACATGAGGCCCAAAACTGATTCTGGGTCCTGGGATGTCCAAATGGGTGAAAGCACACGGAGCATCTCCCTGGATCCATGCACATCATCCAGCCACGACACCTGGGCTCCAGTCAGACTGCCCATGTGACCACAAGCCAAACCTCTCCCAGCCTCAGTTTACCCAGCACCAACCCATCCCCTAAGTATATGGATGACGAGATCACTGTGAAATGCCCCAAGATGAGGAGCTGGCCGCAGAGGCTGGGCAGGATGGGTGATGGTTTGCTCAAAGTGGCCAGTCCCCATGGCTTGGACATGGGTGTCGTGACTGAGGTGGCAACAGCCAGCTCATGTGTATGGGTTGTCTCACGGAAAAGGTCACACACCAGCTTTGGAGAAGGGAATGAATAGATGCTGTAGTCACTGGTGAAGCATGTGGTGTGTTACAGCACGTAGACACCTTGCACACCCACCCCGGAGCCATCACTGCAGCAGATACCTCTCCAAAGGGATCAAACCAAAATCAGGCTACAGCAGACCCAACACCACAGCACCTTCTCACCTGGACAAGGTGGATAACACCACTTCATTCACCTGCAGGGAAGCTGTGAGCTCCTCAGGATCCAGCTGTCTGCTCCCAGATGCACCAGCATCCAGCACAAAAACAATCCCAGGGGCTCCTGCAAAATCAGCTTTCTTGGCTGATGGGGCAGAGGAAAACTCCAGGCTCTGCCCTCCACATCCTCCCTGATAACGTTTTCTGCCCTTCCCCCTGATTGCTTTCCTCATAGCGGAGCCAAAGCTGTAGCTTGTAGGCTCCAAGCTCCACTTTTTGGAAGTGAGGGGCTGTAACACCAACTGGGCTTTACCTCTCATGCTGGGACAGGGTTTGCATGTTTGCAGAGAACCTTCCACGGCCGGGTGGCTGCTCACAGCTTGGTGCACTGCGCTTGTAGGTGATCCGGACCAGGACTCAGCAGGAAGTTTGCTTTCAGCTGCCTCCATCAGTGTGTGGGTGTGCAGATAGGGACCCATTTCACTGCTGGTTTGACTCCTCTAAATGGAGACTTTCACATTTGTCAGGCTTGAAAAATCAACAGCAGCTTTTAAACCAAAACACCATTTCCCTTTCCACGGGCTGCAGCTTGTTTGAACAAGTGGAACCTTCCCACCCTCTGCTGCCTCACTGTGCCTGGTGGGGTCATGGTGGTGGGTTTGCAGAAGCGTAGCCATTCCATTGGAGAAGATGCTCCAGCCATGGAGCTATCTCTGCTCCTGTAGGGAAAATGGGAGCTGTTTTGGAAAGCTGAGCCCTCCCTGCTAGGTTGGTTTTGTTTTCTTAGGGAAGTTGCTCAAAAAGAGCAGAGGAGAGACACATGGGCTCTCCAGAGCATATAATTGATGGTGTGGGTGATGCAGACAGGATCAGAGCTTGGATGGTCCCTTTCCAATGTGATCATCAGGTTTACAAACTTGTGAGATGATAAAAGGGCAAACTGCAAATGTCCATGTGGAGTTGGCTGCCTGGTACTCAAACCCTCACCCTGAAAGACTCAAAATCCCCATTTCCTCTGTTGGGATTTCAGCTGGATGGCTTGGCTGAAATAAATGAGATTAATCTAATCAGAAAGATGGATGGAGCTCATTAAAACAGTAGATTAAAAAGAACCCACCCTGCCTATTACCAGTGCTCCTGAGGTCTTGTGCCTTTGTGGCAAGTTAAAACCACCCAGGAACCAGATTCCCTTGCAGAAATCTGTAGGAAATGCATTACAAATAGTCTGCTATTACAGTTCGTGTCACCAGTCACTTGGGAAGGGAAATACATGCAGGGAAAATGCATGTATATTTAAATATATACAGTTGCATCCTCTGGGATCAGGATTCAGGCTGGGAGTGGCGGGCCCCGCACTGACACAGGTAGATGTGAGCAATTCGAAGTCATCTCAAGAGCTGTGCTGTCTTATTCTCTGTAAATGCTATTTCCCCACCCTCACCTTCCTCACACGAGGCTGAGCAGCAGAAAGGAGCAGAAGGGTCCGGCACTGTGCAAAGCTGAACAGGGAGCACTGGGGGGAGTTCCTGGGTAGGATCTGGGCCAGCCTGGTCCCACAATGAGCTTTCCTGGGTTTATTTCTCATGACCAGTTGCTTTCCTGCCCCGTCCTGTGGCTTTGAGCAGAGCAACCACCCCTCAAAGCCTCTTTGTGCCCCTGTTTGTAGGTGTAGGAGCTCTTTGGGAGGAACCCACACATGGATGCTTCACATGCACAGAGCCCCATTGCCTTCTCCTGATGTTCAGTTTTCCATGCAGGAGCCACCAAAAGCTGCTGCAGTTGCCTCTCCAAGGCATCATCACATACATGGTATCTTTGGAAAGTCTGACACAACAATTGCCAGCTTGTGCATGGTGAGCAGCCAGCCCTGCTTCTGCCCAGGGCTGCACTGAGACGTGTTCTCTTGGGAGCACAGTTAAACTAAATCAAACCCACACCCAAACCTTGGGTCCACCTGCCTGCACAGTGCATGGAAAGCTGTGCTGAGGCTTGTGCTACTCCACCACATAGCTTTCTATTCGGGAGGAGGTGAATTCCCTCTGGGGACAGGGCAAACTGAGCACACCGGTCAGGCCCTGGAGTGCTTCAAGTGAGAGGAAAAAGCTGGGATGGGTGGTTTCCCGAGGTCATATCTCAGCAGCATCCTCCCCCCAGCCAAGGACCAGTCATTAGCTGATGTAGCTGCAGTGCTGCCCAAGCCAAGCAGTTTTCCCATACTGCTCTTTGATGGGGTGACTTTCAGAGCTCCCTGGGGGCTTGAGGAAAACAGAATCCCAGACTGGGTTGAGTGGAAGGAACCTTAAAGCTCCTCCAGCTCCAACCCCTGCCATGGGCAGGGACCCCTTCCACCAGAGCAGCTTGCTCCAAGCCCCTGTGTCCAACCTGGCCTTGAACACTGCCAGGGATGGGGCAGCCACAGCTTCTCTGGGCACCCTGTGCCAGCGCCTCAGCACCCTCACAGGGAAGAGCCATGGTTTAAGATCACTCTGACACAGCCTTGTGCTGCAGGGACACAACAGGGCAGACAGAGTTTCAGGCTATGGCTACTCCCAGCATTCAATCACTTATGACAGCTAAAAGCGTTGCAACTCAGCAGCTGAACTGCATTAATTGCACCCGTATCTTGCCGCAAACCCTGTGCAATGCCGGCAGCTCCTTAAAACCTTTAAACCCACCTGGGACCCTTTGCTGTGCAGGGGCAGCAGGCTGGGAGCCGCGGTGGTGGGCACACAGCCTGCCTGGGAACCTGCAACTCATTACGGGTGGGAGCGGCCTCGTCCCTGCTCCCACGGAGCGCCAGTCCTGCGCCTTTCATCCTCGGCAGCTCCCCGGCCACAGCACCCGGACATCTGAAGGCTTTCACAGGCTTTGGAGCCCGGAGCTGTGCCAGGCCTGCTTTACAAGGGGTGGATCAAGGCCCCAGCTCCCCAGCGCGCCGGTTCTCATGCCTGTCCCTTGCACACACGGGGCTGAGCGCAGGTCACCGTGTGCGTGGAGCCGGGGCCATGGCGAGACCCTGCCCCATGGTGCCCCAGAGCTTCCCGGCTCCACCCCTGACTGCACAAGTTGGTGTTACTGGGTCCTGAGGAAACGCATTTAGAGGAAAAGAAATGCTGGGAAGGAGAAAAAGGGCAACTTGTTTATCGGTGCACAAGGAGCCTCCTCCCAGACCGGGCGTTTTGCCCTCTGGAAGGTTTAATCCCAGTGCCGGTGCAGTCGAGGCACGGTTACGGCAGTGCAGTCAGCCACTGCTTTCTGGGTCCACAGGGAGGAAAACCGGGCAAACCCAGGTGACCAACGCAAGAAGGAAGGATGTTTCAGCGCTGCGAGCCCTGGAGCCTCTCCAGCTCTGCCGCCCCCCCTTCCACCTCTCCCTCAGGCCCGTCTGGTTTCAACACCCTGTCAGCCGCTGAGCCACAGCCCTCACAGCCTTCACGTACGAGGCCGCTCGGCCGCAGCCCGCGGGCCACGGGGGCTCTGCTGCCCTTGCTGGGGAGCGAGGGCAGCCGGGTACAGCCGCCGCTGCCCTTCGGCTCAGCCCCGCTGGGCAGACCGAGGCCGCCCGGCTCGCTCGCAGCTCCCGCCCATAGGGCGCACGGCAATGGCGAGGGCGAGGAGGGAAGCCCGGGCCCGCCCTTCTCCTCCCGGCCTCCTGCCCCCCCGCCTGCAATGGGCCAGTCCCACCGCGCCGCCTCTGCCCGGCGCCCGGCGCGTCCCATTCGGGAGGGAGGGGGGAGCCGGACCCCGCCGCTTGCGCCCTTTCCCCGTTGCGGGACGGCCCAAAGCCGCCGGCGCGGGGGTGTTCGACCCGGCGAGCTCCGTCAGCGAGGCCGCACCCAGGAGGCGGCAGCGCCCTGCGCGGAGCCCTCGGAGCGCTGCTGGGTACCGGGCATCCCCCGGCCCACGGCAGCGGGCTCGCCCCTTTCCCCCCCCCGCCCGTCGCGCCGTGGCTCGGTCCCGTTTGAAGCTGTGGCGGGCCGATGGCGGCTCCGTGAGGGGAGGGCCGTGGGTCCGGCCCGCCATGAGCGAGACCCGGAGCTGCCGGTACGGGGAAGGGGTGGAAGCGGGGCCTGGGGGTCTCCCTGCGCGCAGAGCTTGACCAGGGCTAAATCCCGGGGTGGCGTTAACATCTGCGGCGGAGCGGGAGCCCCGCGGCCCGCCGTCACTAGGTGTCAGCCGCGCTCCGCGGGAGCAGGAGGACGAGGCGGGTCCCGGTGCCGGTGCACGGAGCGGGCTGTGTGTGAGAGAGAGCTGCCCTCGGCCCCAGCGGCTGCGCAGGGCCGGTGCTGAACTTCTCCCTCGCCAGCGTTCCGTCCCTTCCTCGCTCGGACTCGCCCTCCTCCATCCGGAGTAACCGGTGAGGCTCCCAGGCTGAGCGCTGCGCCTGCAGTGCCGCTGGACGGTGGCTGCAAGCTGCGGGCGGCGCTCCCAGGCACGTTGGGTGTGAGTGTGAGTGAATGTTCAGGCTCGGCTTTTCTCCGTCGCGGTACGGTTCCAGGGATCTGACTGTGGCAGTGACAGGAGAAGTAACAAGAAAATAAGGTGGCTCCTGCAATATATTAAAACAAGAAGATACGTTGGAGCTTGGTTTACTCATTGCTTTGTGATTTACTAAGAAGTTCATAACGATGATGTCAGATAAGACGAATATTGAAAGATTTAGAGGCTTCACCTGCATAAGCTGTGACTGTGCCATGAAGAAAGCAGACTTTTTGCTGGAGATCGCCCCTGAGGTGTCTGCATGTAGCTGAAGGTCTGTTCAAGTGACTGATGCTCACAGCAAACACAGAGAAACGTTCTGTTGATCTTCTCTGAGGGCTTGGGGAGTTTCCTAGGAAAATGCCATGCTGTTCTCACCCCTCCGTTAAGACAGGATGGGTGCTGGGTGCTGTGAACAGGGCTGAAAGGAAGGAGCCCACTTTAGAAAACTGAAGTTGAGGAAGATTTCTGCGAGTTAGAGACAGGTGAGGTGTATTGCTGCCTGTTAGGAGTAAAGACTAAGAGAAGGGAACACTCAAAGGCATGAACCGCAATAAAACCCAAGAGGAACGGTTCCATCAAACAGTTCCTGAGTTTGGTGTTAACAGAAACCCCGTCCCCTCCGCTCTTAGCCTGGAAAACCCAGCGAAGGAGACCGTGCACAAAGCCTGTTGGAACAGCGTGGAGGACCAGCTCCCTGGCCAATCCAGCTGCTGCAGCAGATGAGTGGGGTTGTTCCTGGCCCAGAGAAGATGGTTGCCTTAGACTGTCTTCTCTGAATCACCACGTCACCCTCACATCCGATGTTCCTATGTGACCATGTGTAAGAGGGAGGAGAAAGCAGGCTCCATGTAATTTCTAGGGAGACACAACTGCACCTTTTGAAACCTGCCTGAGAAGGAAACTCATTCTCTGGTCCCAGGTCTTTAAAACACAATCTACCAAAAGAATGGAAAGCTTTTGTTTGAGCTGTTGGTTACAGTAACAGCTGTAGGCCCTTCCTGGTATAGTGTCTGCCAAAGAAAAATTGCAATTCTCTCTACAAAGGCATCTTTTTAAGTATAAGAGGGGCTGTATCTACTCAAATAAATATCTACTTAAATAAGTGTACAATGTAGTAAGAACACAGTTTAGCACTTAGAGACACACGTCCTAACAGGGCATGAAGAGGCATATAGTTTGCTTTTTCAGTCTGTGATTTTCCATTAACCGCCAGAGAGATAACTCCTCTTTCATGCAGGTAAAGGAGGTTTTGCAAGATTGGAAACTGTAGCCAGGCATCCTGAAGTGAGTCATTAGAGCCAAGCTTTAAGCAACAGTGTGGCCCAGAAGTTGTGTTCCCAGTAGTTACCTTAGGCTCCAGGCAAGGCCAACCTCAATTCCTGTTGAGCAACTCTGGAGAACTGTGGAGTTCCTGGAGCAAAAGGAGACTGCTGGTTCTTTGGGCAGGTCCTGCTGTCATTGTGCCGTGGCACAACCAGCTGTGAAGCCAGACTGGAGAGTAATTTTTGAGGACCACTCCATTTAGACTGAACAACCTTTTGTAAGAAAATGGAATCAAGTCAGAGGATCTAAATTCTCCTTTGTCAGCATTCTAAAACGTCCCCAGTTACAGCATTTACCCCAGTATTAAACCTTCAATTCACTGTGTCTCACCCCAGGGAGATTTTCCGCTGCTGGGCCTGATGAAAATGGCTATGCTGAATTTACCATCCAGAGCATCTGCTCTCATTTGCAAGACCACATTGTCCAGTATGAACAGAAGAAATTCTAGGAACTCTTGGATAAGCTGCCTAGTAAGTCACTGGGGAAGGGAGAGGAGACCTGCTCCTTCTACAAGAGTTATTAAAGCATTAGAAGGGAACCTAAGTATTCCAAAGCTGATGCTTTCATCATGTGCTCAGTAACAGATGAGAGAAGTGCTTCTAAGAGCTGGAGGACTCTTGGGTCCCTTCCTCAAGGCTTTTTACTAACACCTCACAGAAAAGAAGTTACTTAGAGTGCTTCAGTTTCTGCATGCATAAGTCAGAGCTAATAGCTTTCTCAGGAGGAACTGTAAGTTCTGAGGAGTTTAAAGTGTTTTGAGATCCTTAGAGGAGTGAGCAAATGATGTTAGGAGGCAGATTTAAAAAGGAAATCCTGCATTTGATCTAGACATCTTTTTTGCTAGGCTATAGAGGATTTCTGTCTGCTTCTCTCATTCATCAGACTCCATTAACAGTGCTTTTTGGAGACTGAAGGCCTCTATCCAATATACTGTTCTCCACAGTAGCCTAACCCCATGTCCTGGCAACAGGACATGAATACTGTGTGTCACTGGTGGTGCAAGCCATTCCCTCCACACACACCCCCCCTTCAGCCTGCAGCATGGCATACCTGCTTCTTACTGACTTAGCCTGACCAGTCTGTCCTTGCAAACATCCACTGCCGTTACCCCACTGCAGATAACCTGGATTACACGAGAGTGTGGCTGTGACGAGCAGCAGCAGAAGTGTCCATGTCCTCTTTGCAGCCACCACACCACAGCCACCAGTAGCACAACTTTGCCTAGTCTTGCATCCATGCTAAACTGAGGATACATGAATCTGCTCTGCTGGGAGCCTGGGCAAAAGGAATACCCTGAGGTAGGAAAAGTGCTTGAATGCCTTTACAGCTTCTGCATTTTCTATAGGATGAACTGCCAGAATCTCTGTCCCCTCTACACCATGAAGCATTACACATGGGTTTTCCCTCTGTGAAACAATTGGATGGTTCACAAAACTAAACCTCCCTGCTGCCAGGCAGCTGCTTTCCACTCAGCTTCATGGGGGTGTTGCAGCTCTGCTCCGTGGCTTGAGATCTGCCAGGTTACCACAGCTGCTGTTTCCACACCCACAGGCTCATTTGGTTTCTGATCACAGGCACTGCTTATGGATCAGGCAGGATGTACAAGTGCAGGTGAATGAGCTTGCCATCATAGCCGCAGTCCTGCTAGTGACCAGAGGCATCTGTGAAGCACCTTATGTAGCTTACCTGGGTTTGTATCTAGGCTAAAAAGGGTAACAAAGGTCCTCCTGGAAGGTACAAGAGTACCAGGTAGGTTACTTTGAGTTTTCCAGGAGAAGAATGAGTATGCGGGCACTGGTTGCTTGTGGGAGAAGTGGCAAGAATCTCCTCTGGGCACGGAAGAGAATCTGAGATCCAAATAACAGCCAGGACTACTGCAAGGAGTAGAGGAGGCCAGCCAGTGTTTTTAGTTGGGAGTTAACTCTAGAGCAATGATCCCCTTTTGATCAGAGGGGAAAAATGAGTAGTGCTGATCAGCGTTTCATGGGTCAGCCGCAGGGCAGCCTAATGCTTGCCAAAGAGCCAGGAAGGGAGGCTTAGTTCACAGAGCTCTGGCTAAATGTTGGTCACCCCAGCTAGCTGGCTGTGGTGACACTCCACAGGCACATGGAGAAGCCCCCTTCCCCAACCAATCTGAGCTGTGGCCAGAGCACAGGTACCTTCGTATGATTTAGGGATAAAGAAGCTTTAGAAGACATTGTGACCACGTGCTCCAGGAGGTCAGCAGGACTCCCTCAGCTGGGTTACTCTGCTTTCACCCCGATACACACTTCCCTGACAGGTCAGATAAAAAGCATTGCAGACAACGACAACACAGCCCAGCACATCATTGGTGAGTCTCTGAGCTAAAGTCTAACTTGAAGCCACTTTGCACTCGTAGGCCACAATTTCGGTTTAGACTGATTACCCTGGAGCATACAGGACAGGTCTAGACTAAGTTTGGTGTCTGGCCCCTCCACGTAGTCTGAACAGGAGAGGTGGGTCAGGGAAACTTGGTTTAGAAACTGCCTTGATTTTCCTGTTCCACCCTGAAATGCTTCCAAACAGTAATTGCTTTGGGAAATCTCTTAAATCCTCCCTTCCCTGCTAAAAGCTAAACAGGCCCAAGCGCAAGCTCCGTTTCTAGGCAGTGTTGCAATCTTCAGGCCAGGATGCAGAGTGAGTACTTAATCACTGGCTGTAGTAAAGCACCATGCTAAGATCTTTAAATACTATTTATCCCTAGAGAGAGCAGTGCTGGTATTCAGCTGCCCTGAAATGCTACTCCATCAAAATATTTATTCAAATGCTTTGGGTAAGAGCTGCTTACTTTGACCTTATATTAGTATTCAGAATGCTAACTGAGAATGCAGTGCCACAGGCAGCCTGTACGCTACAGAAAGATTATTTCCACATGGAAGACCAGCTTTTATCAGCTATGAAAATAAGGTGCGGCTCTTCCTGCCCACTGCTTCATCTAGTCAAATATCCTTCCCAGCCCATGTGGACTCTGCCAGTGTTTATTTGGGTTTCTTCTTCCCATGTCAGAGCAGGTTTGTTTTGATGTAGTTTTGATGTAGTTCAGAAAGCTGGATTAATAACCTAAACCAAACCTTGATAAACTACAGGCTGGGCAGCGGGTGATGGCACTGACTCACCATGGGGTGGCACGAACTAGAGAGCCTGTCCCCTTTTGTGTCTAAAAATCAAACCCGTGTCTTGCCTGTACTTTTGGCCTCCATCAACATTTTCCACATACTCACTTCAAGTGCAGGAACATCTGAAGTAGCTGATAGTTGAATGTCAGCTCTGTGCTCCTCAGCAAGGTCCTTGCATGCTTTCCATTTCAAACTGCTGCTGTGGCAGGCAAGATAAATCCCAGGCTCTGGAGTTCTGTATTCCATTTCCCTTTGAAGATGCTCAACAATTCAGTGCAGTACAAAAGCTCTCACGGTGGGTGAAGAATCTTTACTGTTGACCTGCTCCACTTTAACGTGAGGTTTGATGGCTCTGACCATGGTGAAGCCCTTCAGCAGTCCCCCCAGTGACAGCCTTCCTTAGTGCAGCTGCAGAGTGAACTCCAGGCATGTGCCCCTGGTACTCGAGTACTCTCCGTGTGTCACATGTTCCACCTTGGTTCCTGTGCTGGAGGCTCTTCCAGCTGCTTCCAAATGGAAGAGGAATACATTAATCCACTGTCCCTGAATCCACCCACTGTGTTACTTGTCCACAACATCCCACCACAACGGGGCTGCCTTCAGATCTACTCTTGACTGCACAAGGAAGCTTCCTGTGCTGACTGTAGATTTAGTTTTGTTTGCTTACTTCCTCTCCCTACAGAGCAGCAAATTCATTCCTTCCTCTGCCTTTTCATTTCCCCTGATGGACAGAGTGCAGAAAGATTTCCTGAAGAGCCTTGGTTCTGTTCAGGAAGAGCTGTGGGAAGCTGGGAGCAGGTTTGGAAGTGTGATCCACCACAACAGGCAGGGGTCTGGACCTCACCACTCAGGAATACTCATGAAGGTGCTTCTCCCAGATGCAGAACCAGACTCGAAGTGGATTCTTTCTGATCATCTTCACCACCTGGCAGAGGTGGAACACTTTCTCCCACAGTATCTCAAATCATGCCTCAGATTGTAAAAACCAACTGGACAAATCCACAGGGACCAGCATTACCACCATGCAGCGACTCTGCGTGTCTGTATCTGAATAAACCTCCCAACTACAAACCGTAGTGCTGCTTTTTCCCCCAAACCTGCCACTGTTTGGTGGGGAAGACAACAGGATGTGGAGCTGATAAAGCTGCAGAGGAGCTCAGGCTGTTTTAATTCAAGGTGTTAATTCTGCCATGGGCCTGTAACCTACTTTGCTGAAGCTTTAGTCACAGCCCAGGGATGCTGTTTGCATTTGATAAGGCCACATGGTATTTAAAATCATTAAATCTGCTCAATATGGTTCAATGTTAGCTTGAAAACCTGACTGAATTATTAGAAATGGAACATATGGTATAAATTTAGCAATCCCTGGTGTATTTAGTATTTCACATCAGCCAGATTTCACTTGACATGAAAATGGGAACTTTAACCTGTCTAGATTTCTTGCTCTAATTTTACATCATGAAAATGTCCTATTTGTTGGCAAGCTCAAGATCTCTGCTGGGTAAACACTAAACTCAATGGCTGCTGTCACACGAACCACTGGCTGCTGTGATTTCACTGTTCATCATTAGTAAATGAGGGTCCTCTCAGTCCCAATGGAACAATCCTTCCAGATGCACAGTAATGGGGGTAAAAATGAACATTTCTCACCATACCCAAAGGGGCTGGAGATCTTGAACAGAACCAGTGGATGTGTTCTTACACATAAATAATGCATTTGTCTCAAAATAATGACACCCAATATTTGGGGTCATTATGACTAAGTGCAGACAGAGCAGCTTCAGCCAAATGAAACAACTGCCCAGCAGGCACCACTCCCCATTCCACACCACTCAACTACAGCAGGACTGCTCCCAGCTTCAGTGCCCTTTGCTCTGCTTCCACAACCAGAGTGCATCACAGAATCCCAGACTGGTTTGGGTTGAAGGGACCTTAAAGCTCCTCCAGCTCCAACCCCTGCCACAGGCAGGGACCCCTTCCATAGAGCAGCTTGCTCCAAGCCCCTGTGTCCAACCTGGCCTTGAACACTGCCAGGGATGGGGCAGCCACAGCTTCTCTGGGCACCCTGTGCCAGCGCCTCAGCACCCTCACAGCAGGCAACTTCTTGCTTTAGATCTAACCTGAACTTCCCCTGTTTCAGTCTGAACCCATCACCCCTTGTCCTATCACTGCAGTCCCTGATGAAGAGTCTTTCTCCAGCATCCTTGTAGCCCCCTTCAGACACTGGAAGCTGCTCTGAGGTCTCCCTGCAGCTTCTCTTCTCCAGGCTGAACAGCCCCAGTGTTCTCAGCCTGGCTCCATACAGGAGGTGCTCCAGCCCCTGAGCGTCCTCATGGCCTCCTCTGGCCTTGCTCCAACAGCTCCATGTCCTTCTTATGTTGGGCTCACCAGATGTCAGCTCTGTGCAGTGCTCCAATGCTTCCCCTTTCCTTGGATTTACAAAGTGGAGAAGCACAGGTGCTGGACTCACCCAATCAAACCCCACAAATCTGCCACCCCTCACCCCCTCTTCTCTTACCTTCACAGGTCGGGTCTGTTGGCTGAGGACAGGAACAGCGTTGCTGGAACACAGAAGAACAGGAGCCTTTGGTGTCACCGTGGGGTAGGTCACAGTGACAAGAGGGCAACACGTGTCTAAGTTGGTTTATTAATTCAGTCTGTTCTAAGTTGTACAATTCTGAAAACAACAAAACGACTGCTGGAAGCCCAGAAATATTTACACTCTCGCCTTGTTGTAGTGAGGTCAGTCTATGTTGTTGCACAGATTGGTTATGTTTGGTACCACAAGATGTTCCAAAATTCAGACAAATTTGAACAGATTAACAATTGTATATACAGGAAATAAAAGGAAATTCAAGTATCAAAATACAGACAGATTAAATAACATTTGTAGTACAAATCAGTCCCACTGCCATACATCACAATTAGCAAAAATGACTACATTGCAAACTGAACGTGAGTGTTCTCTGCCCTCTTAGGGAATCTCAGGTTATTCTTCCATGGGTAAGAAAAATGTTTGAGCTAGATTGACTTTGCAAGAGCAGCACAGGTACTTTCTTTTGGGAAAATGAAAAAATACAGGAAGTAATGCCAATAGGAAACATAAAAGGGAGACCTTTAGCAACAAGAGTGTTGCAAACACCTCTAAAATAAAGGTCTGACTGCATGGAAACAACATCAGCAGAAGGAAGCTAGGGGAAACTGTGCTGCTAGAAACTGCTGAAGTGCAGTGGAAGGAGCATTAGAGCAATTGCCTCCACTTCAGCTGCCCACAGAACGGGGTGGGTTCAGAGGGACTATTTGGCATCTGGTCTGTGTCTCAGCAGCCTTGTGAAGGTGCAGACTTGTCACTAGAGGTACAGCCAGGAAGCTGCTGCATCTTCTCCCTGTGAGGGGACAGGCACATACCCCACCAAAGTTGCATAATTTCTTCATAAAAGAACAATCCCAAAGCAAGTTCAATGGAAGCTGAACAACTTTTTGTTTTTCCTTGTAAGTATAAAATTAAAAAGGATAAAGCAGCTTCAATCTGGGGGGAAAAAAAAAACAACCCAAACCAAACAAACCAAAAAAGTTCATCCCCTCCTATATAAAAAAGGACAACTTTGCATCTCAGTTACTTATCTTGAGTTCTCAGCCTGGACTCATGCCGTGCACAATCCAAACTCTGTAAACCACAATCTGTCCTTAAAAAAGGGGACTGAGGCCCAGGGCAGCACCACCTTTTCCAGGCAGAAAATACAGCAGATGCATTTTGAGTCAAAAGTCATATTCAGCACCAGAAATTTAGGGCACTTTCCTCCCAGATACCATAAAACCCTGGAGGGAGGAAGAGGCAGAATACTGTGCAATGGGTGGGATAACATGACTGGGAGTCAGGGACTGGCATGGTCCAGGATCTGTCTCCAGCATGCAGGTACCTTGAGAAGACCCATTGAAATAGAAGGGGAATATGCACTGCCAAAACAACTGCTTTGTTTATGGAGTGAGAAAGAGAGTATCTGGCTAAAGAACTGTTGGATCACTAAAGACAACCACAGGATCACACACAGGACTGGAAAGGACCACCAGGGTCACTAAGCACAGTCCCCTGAAGATTGGAGTCTTCATCACCACGTCACCTCCAAGCCAACCTTCAAAAAGCTCATGCAAGTAAAAAGAAAGCTGTCCCTCCTCCCAAGCAGAGGTTCAATTTGCAATCTCTCCAAAAAGACTTGTTGCCAACACACCAAATATTTACACTTAACACCAGTATGAATGCAACATATGCAGAACAAGGAATGTTAGGTTTCCTAAATTCATCAACTTAAAAAATAATCATCTCCACTTCCCCCTCCTTATCATTTACAGGTCTATGCCCTTGGGATTACGGATCATCTCTCTCTGCCTCACTGGCTAGAGAGACTAAATGAAATCCTGACATACAGCAGCAACTGGAGTTAAACAGGAATTATCTGGGCATACCATCAGAGTAAAGCAGCAGGTACCACATCCCCAACCATCATAATGCCTGTCAAGGTTACACACGTGCTGTGCTACATTTGTGTGTCTGAAGAATGAAAATCACATTTTAACACCTCTCCCTTGAGGGGATCAGTCAGTGCTGTGTGAAGACACATCAGTCACAGCCCAAACTGCTGTTATACCCTGCTGATTGGGAAGAAAAGTAATGGCACCTTTGAGATGGCGGTTTTGGGGATCCCGGACTGAGATGGGGGCTGAGCCATCCTCAGGTTGGTCTGATTTCTCCTGGTGTATGGACCGTTTCAGTGTAATGCCCAAAATTTAACTCCTTATTTGTTCACCTTCTGAATCGGTTGCACTAATTAAATAACAAGCTAGTATCAAAAAAGTGCTAAATCACAATTGAATAGACTTTAAAAAACCCCAACCCCTCAACCCTTCAGGGCACAACTGCATTTAAAACCAACTCAGGTGCACACGAGACTGGAGAAGGGACTCATCTCCAGGGGTTCAGTGCGGAAAAATGGGAAGAAATTGTGTCCTTGCCATAGAAGCATCAAGTATTGCAATGCAAGAGTTCTCTGGAAGGGAAGCAAACTCTGTACCATCGTCAGACTTGGCCACAACCACTCTGGGGTGAAAGATCCTTTGCAGACTCCTTAAGTTGTTTCCACTTGCACTTCCCCTGCCAGACTTCTCACACTGGAGGAAGTGATTTCCAGGAATTTGGCATTCTCTACTGTTCACCCAGAACTGAAGCAATGTAAGTACCGTTAGAGATGTGCACACCACTCCCACCACTAAGACTCCCTAGTGTACTCAGGGCTGCGTGGATTCTCAGTAAATAAGGATATCTATTGGTTTTTTCCTCACCAAAATACCTGCAGTGCTACATTTAAACTGTGAACTGGATTTGCTCTGCATCATTTTTGCACATTATTAAAGAAACAGGTTGAAAAACATTTGTGTCGAGCTAGAAAAGGTGATATCGCTCTCAGAAGTCTCAGCTTCCCTTTGCTAGACATGGAGAGAGCTGCTTTCCTCAGCTGGTGCCTGGGATCCCTTTTCCCCCCTCTGCTTTGGGAGCCCTCACTGAGCAGCCATGCACCCAACTCCAAGGCAGACACCAGATGGAGATGATCTTCGTGTCAGCAGGCCACTGCTTCTTAGGTCTCTGCCCCGTTACTACATGTCCGTGGTAGGAGACAGCTGCCCGGAGCTCAGCTTTGCAGAGGCAAACAGAAAGGAAGATAATGGAATGAATGATTTCTGAGTCATAAAACACAAGAGCTGGGAAAGATGAGGCTCATGGCCAGGATGCGACACAACCGTGAGGGTTATGGACACACAGCGGGGGCAGAGCTGCCTGTGATCCCAGCTGGGTTTGGATGGTCACCCTTAGGAAGGCACATGCTGTGGTGACCCAGTGTGGGAGGTGCTGAGGAACCTGCTGAGAGCAGGGGAGATGCAAGAGCTCAGACCCTCTAGAGTCAGGCGTATAGGTGGGCTATGGCATGGTAAATACTTACACATAGAAACTGCACTACCACACCAATCCTGTTTCTCTTTGAAGGATACAGAAACCCCCAGGGCTCCTTTACAGCTTGGAAAGA